TAATTTTGGTAACACTTTAGTATATAGGGACCAATTCTCACTTATAACTACTTGCATATTAACATGCCTATTAACATATTAAAATAGTGGATGTTTATTAGTACTTATAAAGCATACTTATTTTCAACATCTATCTATCTATCCATCCGTGTGTGTGCATCCTAAATAGCACAGAGATCACTTGCATGGTTTTTGACATGAATTTTCACATTTTCCAAGTGAATTTAAAACATCTTAATACTTTAAAGGAATCAAGGATAAGCCTGGAAATCACAACTGTAAGACTTCCTGATATTTCTAGGTTTTCTCTCTGCAGGGCCCTCTGCATGAAGGAAATCGCTAGACAGACATGACAAATCCATGCGGATGAAAGAAACACAGACAAGTTTAACGTTTACCTGTTGAAAGACGTCAGCCCCCTCATCATAATCCACCACCGTGAAGAACAGTTTATTAGAGAAGGCCGAAGAGTATCGCCAGGAGTTAGCCAGCACCTGATATTCCTCATTAGCTTGCCTGTGAAGAGAAACATTTTCAGAAGCAGAAAGACAGCTTACTCATTAGAAGAAAGCTACCAAATAAAAAGAATCCGACAAGAACTTCATTACAGGAGTGTCATCTCACTATTACGTATTACAGTGATTGCTGTTTATTCCACACTGGGTGGACAGCACAAAGAGAACGAGGGGGGGGAAAAGAAAGAGACAACGCTGTTAATTAGGTATCCGTCCTTCCACAGACGCAACAGAGATGTCCACCTGCCAGTTCCCGGAAAACGTCACTGTAATGTCCACCATAAATAAATAAACAAACAAATGAAAATTAAACATTGATGATGCTGGGTCAAAAGCACTCACATCACTTTACATTTTCAGAAGCAGAAAGACAGCTTACTCATTAGAAGAAAGCTACCAAATAAAAAGAATCCGACAAGAACTTCATTACAGGAGTGTCATCTCACTATTACGTATTACAGTGATTGCTGTTTATTCCACACTGGGTGGACAGCACAAAGAGAACGAGGGGGAAAAAAAGAAAGAGACAACGCTGTTAATTAGGTATCCGTCCTTCCACAGACGCAATAGAGATGTCCACCTGCCAGTTCCCGGAAAACGTCACTGTAATGTCCACCATAAATAAATAAACAAACAAATGAAAATTAAACATTGATGATGCTGGGTCAAAAGCACTCACATCACTTCAAAGAGCTCTTATTTTCCCCTGAATATTCGCGCAGACAAAACATTTTTTATTTCTATGGGTTGCATGATCCACCTCCAGTACACCACCTTCCACAAAGGCCAAATTCAGATAACCGACACTGACATCTTAGTAAAAACTACAGGGATCCCAATCCCTTCTGGATTATGAGATGACAGACATCCTATGTTCATAATTGTGACTTAATCATTGTTCAGAAAACAAATCTCACCCATATAGTGCTAAGCAAACATGCATTTACAGATTGAAAGTGTACAATTTAAAGACTTGATAAATGCATCAATAAACTAAATGTACCCATAAACATCAATAAAGCAGGGCACTCTGCAGGTGGTAAAAACAAGTTTAAATATGCATGATTATGCACATTAATGTTTCATCTTATGCTGAGTGTCCATTTTCAAAAAGCAAGGGCTGAGCTGATGTTAACTGATCTGTCATTGAGAAGTTACCGCAGTCAAAAATGCTCTGGAAAGCACAGTCCTTCGGAACTATATGGTAAAATGGCATTTCATGAATTCCTTTGGGGAGATGACAAATAGCACAGCACTGACTCGTTATTTAGAACAATTTATTAAAATAAACAATATGAAATAACTGATATTAAACAAAAAAATGGCACATAATTGACATGCTGCACTGCATCTTTACCTCAAAGCTCCCTTATGTCAGTAATGTGAAGCTTCCTTAATAGCAGCATTTCCTGTCCTTTGCAAATGACATTTAAGACTTTTTTACCCATGCTATTTAAGATATTTAAAGACTTTTCACAGCTTTCAATTCTGAAAAGTGAATTTATGACATTTTAAAACTTTTAAGGACCCTTGGACAACATGCAGGCAGTGAGTCTGAACGATTTAAGGAAGCCCAAATAAAGCTTTTATTTTTTTGGAAATTTGGGAAATATAGTGCTTTGCACACCTGAATCATTTGTCAGTATGTTTGATAAGTCAGTATGTAAGTCCATCATCAACTACAAAAAATACAGAAACTTGCACACTACTGAAACTTGTACCATTACAAAATTATATTATTAACTCCTTAGGCTAAGGAAGGTTGATTGGCTGAAACGTAGGTAATACAATTTGGTAATAATGCAAGTTTGAGTAGTGTGTCAGATTTATAAATTTTTTTAAGTTTAGAGAATTTAAATAAGACTTCTGTGGCAGCTTGCTCCTGCCACAGGATAAAAAAAATAAAGCTAATTGCAACTTTTTATATCAAAATTGCAAGTGTACATCTCGTAATACTTTTTTCTCAGAACTGTGAGGAAAAAAAAGTCAGAATTGCGAGATATAAACTAGCAATTTTGAGGAAAAAGTCAGTATTACGAGATGTAAATTTGCAATTGTGAGTAAAAAAAATTTAAATCACAATTAGCTTATTATTTGTTATCCCATGGTGAAAACAAGCTACCAGAAACACACACGCATACAGAATTCAGGGGTCTTGAGATCGTTTTAACAGGGCACTCAGAAACGGCACAAGGCACAAAACTATGGTTAAAGAAATCTGTCTGTGTAAGTATGGCTATAGTGACATTGCTATATATATTTAAAGCGACAACTTTTCAGAGAGGGTTTTACCATGCAAACTATCTAACAGCAAAGATATAGAAAGACTAGCTAACTTCTAGCCAAACAGTCGACTACAGTATTCAGGACAAAATGATGTATGAGAAAAGAAAACAATTAATTGGGTGTGAGAAAGACGGAGAGAGATGGAGGGCAAATAAGGAGGAAATAACGAGAATATACATAAACATGCGATTTGAGTAGACAGTAGATAATTAAAAAAGCATTAGGGGTCACATCGTCGCGATAGGGTGACTGGGCGTTTAAAGGTCGATCTGCTTTAAATTAACTTCCTCTATTTTGGTAGCACACATGACTGTTCCAGTCCGTTATCTTTATTCAATGAAGCTGGCAGATGATGTCTAAGAATTCTGAATAGACTAGTGGGAGTGGTTCACTCTCTGAGGCTTGATATTCAGCTGAGGAACACGAATGTATGAGCACAGAGTAATTTCACCCGACGATTGAAGGATAATGAGGGGAGAGATGGATGTGAGGTGAGTGGATGGAGGCTAAGTAGCTGTCGTGGGATAAATAGATGGGAATGATGTCTGGGGTGGAGGCTGCTTGGGAACAGACAGATGTAGAAGGTTTTCCGGTGGTGCTCTGGGGCAGATCAAATCTTTATCTATGACTGCGTTTACACCTGTTATTATCGTTTTACTTCAGTATATACAGCATTATACCTGTGGACAGCAACTAAAAGATGAATGTGCTTGTCTCACCTGCAGACAGAACATTGTCTCTGGGGTTGTAGTGCGGTGAACATCACAATGACGGAATAGTTCCGGGGTGGAGCCTTGACAAACCGCCGGAACTTATCCCCGTTCATACGGATCACGGAACGCCGGGAACTCCACTCCATCATTTGCTCCACCTTCTCTGCCATCATGTTCTAGAAGAAATAAGAAGTTGCGTAGGTTCAGATATTAAGAATCTTTGTGAACTTCTCCACAAAAACAACATTGGAAAAAACCCCCAAAAAAAACCCATTAGCCATCATGTCCTTCATGATACAAACAACAGCAACAAAAAAAAGTATCAATAGTGACTTCAGGTCAGGTTAAGAAGTTGAACTCATCTGTAACTGCAAAAGGCAACATCCAATTTATTTTTTGTTTACAGTCTGAAAAAGACATTCTGTAAATGTCACCATAAAGACTGCAGGTAACACTTTATAATAACGTTCAGTTGTAAGGCATTTATAAGTGATTAGTTAATGATGAACTAATCATTTAAAAAACATAACTACGGTATGTGTTCATAAATGATTAATAAGTGATTTGTTAATATTTGTATCTATGTTTTGTAGATTGAGTTATAAATCATTTACAAGTGATTAGATGATGATTAACTAATCTTTACAAAACATGACTATACGTTCACAAATGAGTAAGTAATATGCTAACGATTTACCAATCTGTCACAAGTTATCTTAAAAAATAGCATATCATGAAATAATCAAACAGATCCTTAGTAAATGGTTAATAAGTTACTAGTTAATATATTATAAATCACTTATATATCATTGAATTGTCAACATTGTACTATTATCTCACAGCGTTAAAAATACTCCATGTGTGTCACATCACAAGTCTGTCCATACACTGCAGTACACACTACAGGGACAGATATCGAGAGCAAATGAGGAAAAAAATGAGAATATACATAAACATGCGATTTGAGTAGACAGTAGATAATTAAAAAAGCATTAGGGGTCACATCGTCGCGATAGGGTGACTGGGCGTTTAAAGGTCGATCTGCTTTAAATTAACTTCCTCTATTTTGGTAGCACACATGACTGTTCCAGTCCGTTATCTTTATTCAATGAAGCTGGCAGATGATGTCTAAGAATTCTGAATAGACTAGTGGGAGTGGTTCACTCTCTGAGGCTTGATATTCAGCTGAGGAACACGAATGTATGAGCACAGAGTAATTTCACCCGACGATTGAAGGATAATGAGGGGAGAGATGGATGTGAGGTGAGTGGATGGAGGCTAAGTAGCTGTCGTGGGATAAATAGATGGGAATGATGTCTGGGGTGGAGGCTGCTTGGGAACAGACAGATGTAGAAGGTTTTCCGGTGGTGCTCTGGGGCAGATCAAATCTTTATCTATGACTGCGTTTACACCTGTTATTATCGTTTTACTTCAGTATATACAGCATTATACCTGTGGACAGCAACTAAAAGATGAATGTGCTTGTCTCACCTGCAGACAGAACATTGTCTCTGGGGTTGTAGTGCGGTGAACATCACAATGACGGAATAGTTCCGGGGTGGAGCCTTGACAAACCGCCGGAACTTATCCCCGTTCATACGGATCACGGAACGCCGGGAACTCCACTCCATCATTTGCTCCACCTTCTCTGCCATCATGTTCTAGAAGAAATAAGAAGTTGCGTAGGTTCAGATATTAAGAATCTTTGTGAACTTCTCCACAAAAACAACATTGGAAAAAACCCCCAAAAAAAACCCATTAGCCATCATGTCCTTCATGATACAAACAACAGCAACAAAAAAAAGTATCAATAGTGACTTCAGGTCAGGTTAAGAAGTTGAACTCATCTGTAACTGCAAAAGGCAACATCCAATTTATTTTTTGTTTACAGTCTGAAAAAGACATTCTGTAAATGTCACCATAAAGACTGCAGGTAACACTTTATAATAACGTTCAGTTGTAAGGCATTTATAAGTGATTAGTTAATGATGAACTAATCATTTAAAAAACATAACTACGGTATGTGTTCATAAATGATTAATAAGTGATTTGTTAATATTTGTATCTATGTTTTGTAGATTGAGTTATAAATCATTTACAAGTGATTAGATGATGATTAACTAATCTTTACAAAACATGACTATACGTTCACAAATGAGTAAGTAATATGCTAACGATTTACCAATCTGTCACAAGTTATCTTAAAAAATAGCATATCATGAAATAATCAAACAGATCCTTAGTAAATGGTTAATAAGTTACTAGTTAATATATTATAAATCACTTATATATCATTGAATTGTCAACATTGTACTATTATCTCACAGCGTTAAAAATACTCCATGTGTCCGAAAAGACATCTGTCTACACCCTCATTAGTCAGCCCTTACATTGCAGTACACACTACAAAGTATTCAAAACCTGTTGTGTAAACACATTAATAAATCATTTACAAAGCTTTCTGCATCCCCTATTCTAAAGTGTAAACTACTCATCAGTTGTAAATGTTTTACTCGTCATTCGTAGATCTTTCAGGTCTAGGTTTTGAATACTTTGTAGTGTGTACTGCAATGTAAGGGCTAACTGGTGAGGGTGTACAGATGTCTTTTCTGACACGCATGGAGTAATTATAACGCTGTGAGATAATAGTACAATGTTGACATTTCAATGATTTATGAGTGAATAATAATATATTAACTAGTAACTTAACTAGTAACTATACTGAAAACAATGATTCGTTGAATTTACTAAAAAAATTTAAGATAAGTGGTTGCAATCAATTTATTTTAGCTACATTCAAATAAACAAATTTAGTTGACCAACTTTCAACATTTTTTTAAATTCAAATGTAGCTAAAATATATTGTCTGCAACCACTTACCTTAAAAAATGTAGTATCTTTTTTTTCAGTGCATTAACCTTTTACTAAGGATCTGTTAGATTATTTCATGATGCTATTTACGAGATTTGTAAATCGTTAGCATATTACTTAATAATTTGTGAATGTATAGTCATGTTTTATAAATTATTAGTTAATCATCATTTAATCACTTGTAAATTATTTATAACTTAATCTACAAAACATAGATAAAAATATTAACATATCACTTATTAATCATTTATGAACGCATAGTCATGTTTTGTAAATTATTAGTTCATCCTTAACTAATCACTTGTAAATTACTTGTAAATTAATTAAAACATACACAAATTGTTAGCATATCACTTATTAATTGCTTATGCATGTCTTGTAAATGATTAGTTCATCATTAACTAATTAATTATAAATGACTTGCAACTGAACGTTATTATAAAGTGTTACCAGATTGCTTACTGACGAAAAAACTAACCTGTGGCTAAAAGAAATACCAGGCAGCTTCCTATGAGTTCTCAAAAATTATCTAGTGGTTTATATTAGAACAGTTAACTATTCCTAGCAGGAACACTCTGCACATGAGATTTCATATTCAATAGATTTTTTTGTTGCAGTGTTGTTATTGTTAATTAAAAGTAGAACTACAACTTAAACAATAATTAGAAATAGGAATAGAATAAATTGAAGTACCAACATTACTAATATATATACAAACCCGATTCCAAAAAAGTTGGGACACTGAACAAATTGTGAATAAAAACAGAATGCAATGATGTGGAAGTTTCAAATTTCAATATTTTATTCAGAATACAACATAGATGACATATCAAATGTTTAAACTGAGAAAATGTATCATTTTAAGGGAAAAATAAGTGGATATTAAATTTCATGGCATCAACACATCTCAAAAAAGTTGGGACAAGGCCATGTTTACCACTGTGTGGCATCCCCTCTTCTTTTTATAACAGTCTGCAAACGTCTGGGGACTGAGGAGACAAGATGCTCAAGTTTAGGAATAGGAATGTTGTCCCATTCTTGTCTAATACAGGCTTCTAGTTGCTCAACTGTCTTAGGTCTTCTTTGTCGCATCTTCCTCTTTATGATGCGCCAAATGTTTTCTATGGGTGAAAGATCTGGACTGCAGGCTGGCCATTTCAGTACCCGGATCCTTCTTCTACGCAGCAATGATGTTGTAATTGATGCAGTATGTGGTCTAGCATTGTCATGTTGGAAAATGCAAGGTCTTCCCTGAAAGAGACGACGTCTGGATGGGAGCATATGTTGTTCTAGAACTTGGATATACCTTTCAGCATTGATGGTGCCTTTCCAGATGTGTAAGCTGCTACACACACACACACACACACACACACACACAGTGCTGCTTGAAAGTTTGTGAACCCATTAGCATTTTCTATAATTCTGCATAAATATGACTCAAAACATAATTAGATTTTCACACAAATCCTGAAAGTAGACCGAGAGAAAGGAGACAAAAATATATACTTTGTCATTTATTTATTGCGAAAAATGATCTGGTGTTAAATATTTGTGAGTAGCTTTCAGAATCTGGTGTGACTCCCTTATGCAGCAATAACTGCAAGTAACGTTTCTTGTAACTGCTGATCAATCCCGCACAATGGCTTGTAGGAATTTTAGCCCATTCCTCAGTACAGAACCACTTCAACTTTGTGATGTTGGTGGGTTTCCTCCTATGAACTGCTTGCTTCAGGTCCTTCCACAAAATTTCAATTGGATTAAGGTCCGGAATTTGACTCAGTCATTCCAAAACATTAACTTTGTTCTTCTTTAACCATTCTTTGGTAGACTGACTTGTGTGCTTGGGGTCATTGTCTTGCTGCATGATCCACTTTCTCTTGAGAGTCAGTTCTCGGACCTATGTCCTGACATTTTCCTTCAGAATTTGCTGGTATATTTCAGAATTCATTGTTCCATCAATGATGGCAAGCCGTCCAGGACCAGATGCAGCAAAACAGGACCAAACCATGATACTACCACAACCATGTTTCACAGATGGGATAAGGTTCTTATGCTGGAATGCAGTGTTTTCTTTCTCCAAACATAACGCTGCTCATTTAAACCAAAATGTTCTATTTTGGTATCAACCTTTTCTCAAAAACATTTAAAAACATTTCTTCAGTATTCCTCTGGCTTGTCCACATGATCTTTAGCAAACTGCAGATGGGCACCAATGTTCTTTTTGGAGAGCAGTGGCTTTCTTCTTGCGACTCTGCCATGCACACCATGGTTGTTTAGTGTTCTCCTGATGATAGGCTCATAAACATTAACATTAGCCAATGTGAAAAAGGCCTTTAGTTGCTTAGAAGTTAGCCTGCAGTCCTTTGAAACCTAGTGGACTTTTACACGTATTGCTTTTAGAGTGTTCTTTGTTGGTGGACCACTCCTGGGGAGGGTAACAGTGGTCTTGAATTTCCTCCATTTCTACACAATCTATCTGACCGTGGATTGGTGGAGTCCAAACTCTTTAGAGATGGCTTTGTAACCTTTTCTAGCCTGATAAGCAACACCAACTCTTTTTCTGAGGTCCTCAGAGATCTCATTTGTTTGTGCCATGATACACTTCCACAAACATGACCAAACTTTGATAGATCCCTGTTCTTTAAATAAAACAGGGCACACACTCACACCTGATAGTCATCTCACTGATGACCTCTGAACAGATGGACTCCAATTGTAATCAAAACATTATTTTAGTTAAAGTATTTGTATCAATACTGTGTGCCTTTTGCCCCATGCTGGTGAGCCTTTTACCCCATGTGTGGGGTAAAATGCCCCTGCTTGCCACCTCATACATTCATAAGATTTTAAAACAAAATGAACAACTTGTATGATTCATTTTCACACAAAATCTGTATCTCCATAAATGTTCAATACAAACATATATATTTTTCTGCAATTATACTTTTTTGACGCAGTGAAAAGCAATTTTTTTTAAAGTGTGCCTTTAGCTCTGTTGTACCCTACATATACACATTATATATATATATGTAATGTGTATACATATATATATATATATATAATGTGTACATATATATATATATATAATATATATATACATACGTAGAATTTTGCAAGGTGTCATGCATGATTGTATATTTCCCCAATATGGAAAAGTATTTTGAACATGAAAAAAGCAAGTAGTGAAGGCAGAGTATGCACTAATATTAAGGGCATCCCACATAAAACTGGACCTCAATTTCTACTTTTCATTCCATCATTATATTAAGAACCAGGTCAGAGAACAGGTGTGACACTCTCTTTACTTCTCTCCTTCCACTCTGTTTTCATCCTTGCACACAGGTGTGGAATTCGAGAAAAAAAAATCAAAAGTTCATTAAGGTTATTTATTGCTTTAATCACATTCTTTGGAATAACGCACCACAAGTCATTCACATTAACTCCACAAACATGTATTTAAAAAAAAAAATATTACATATTGCACATATTAATCTATGTAACGTGTAATTAAATTGCAAGTACCAAATAACACTAATGAACAACATGCATTTTGTAAATAAATTCTGGGAACAATACAGAAGGTAATGTTATTTTAATGTAAAGCATATTGATGCGTGATGTGTATTACGTACTAAAAGGCTCAAGATTGTGTACCCAAAAAACTTGTTTTCATTACTACTTCAATACTGTGATTTAAGTCTTAAATGAACCAGTAATAAAATTTCCACACTTTAGCAGAGATAGAAGACACACACTGTCACCTTATTCAAATACAGCCCCAACGCCCCGT